GACTTACTGAGGCTGGAGTTTTGACAGACTGACCATCAGAAAGGAGCACTCGCGGCGGTTGGAATGAATGTCAAGCATTGTCTTATGAAGATGAGATGGCAATTATCATTTGGATATCTATTCCAATCATGTCGATAAAGGCTTTGTAATCTCTACTGCTTAATAAACCGAAGAACACAAACTCGGGTTTTCGGTACCGGATCGGTCTCTTCCCCTCATCTAACCCCACGAAGACGCCTTCTGGGTGGCTAATGTTTTACCCCTCCACCAGGGTATTAGATGGTCTTCGAGTGAATTGAGAACTATTCGTGACATTGACAACTGGTGTCATGAGAGAACAACATCTCGTTCAACCACACTTGGAGCAAGACTTACCTCCATTCGAAAGCTTTCATTTCCATTGTCTGGCTGTCGAGTAAGGCTGCATATGCACGTTCACCTCCAAACCGCCGACTGCGAATCCATACAGAGTACATACGCCCCACCAAGATCTCCAAGCCGACTTGGAGATGCCGAATTGAGTCACCATCGCCCGGAACACCTTGAAATCATCAATCCTCCTCGTGAACTCAGAATAATAACTCGCTATCATCTTTCCCATAGTCGATACTGCGCCGCTTCAACTTCTGCATGAGGCCATATCGCTACCCAATCCGCATCAGTTCTCTGACGACCCCTCTTAGCCGGTCAACTTCGTCGTTCACACGCCGTGAATCCCTGCATCCCGGACAACGCCTTTGCACTCCCGCTAGTTATCTTACCTCGTCTAGATACCTAGCAACCATGGTACAGGTCACGCAACTCAAGATCGCCGTCTTGGACGACTACCAGGGCCTCTCGGAACCCCACTTCAGCAAGCTGGATAAATCGTTGTTCAATGTCACCACTTTCAAGGACACCCTGCTGCCCTACAATCATCCCGAGACCCCTGAATACGCCAAGGATGCATTGGTATCGAGGCTGGAGCCTTTCGATGTTCTCTGTAATCATCACGCCCCATTTCCATCCATACAGTGGCAACATCTCCGTTGTCTTCATGAGTTTATAACGCAAGCTAACACAAATCACCAGGTACCATGAGGGAACGCACTCCGTTTCCCAAGGATCTCATCGGAAGATTGCCTAACCTCAAGCTTCTTCTCTCCACGGGTCTGCGTAACAAGGGTCTCGACCTCCCAGCCTTCAAAGACCGCGGCATCCCCGTCGCTGGCACTGTTGACAAAGCGACAGTCAATCAGGCCGGCACGAACAGCACGACCCAGCACTGCGTGACTCTTATCCTTTCGCTAGCAAGGAACATTGCCGCCGATGACCTTGCTGTCAAGTCTGGCTTGTGGCAGACAGACGTCGCCATAGGCATGACAGGCAAGACTTTCGGTGTCGTCGGACTGGGCCGTCTCGGAGTTTCGACGGCAAAGATTATGCACCTGGCGTTTGGTATGAACGTCATTGCTTGGAGCACGAATCTGACACAAGAAGCTGCCGATGAGAAAGCGAAGGCGGAGGGCTTGCCGGTGGGCACTTTCAAGGCAGTCAGCCGGGAAGAGCTCTTCAGCACTGCTGACGTTCTCAGCGTTCACATTGTGCTGTCAGACCGATCTAGAGGGCTCATCAATGCGGATGACCTCTCCAAGATGAAGAAGTCGGCGTTGTTCATCAACACGTCTCGCGGCCCTCTCGTAGTCGAGAAGGATCTTCTTGACGTCTTGAAGAAGGGCGGTATCAGGGGTTGTGCCTTGGACGTGTTCAACCTCGAGCCGTTGCCTGTGGACAGTGAGTGGCGGTCGACCGAATGGGGCCGTGATGGCCGTAGCAGGGTGCTTCTGACACCTCACATGGGTTACGTTGAGGAGAGTACCTTGAACGCATGGTATGAGCAACAGGCGGATAACATCCGGAGGTGGCAGGCAGGCGATGCTCTTGATAATGTTCTGGCTTGAATGAGAAGTGCGTGATAGTCCTCCCCCGGAATGAGATGAACAAGCATCAATGAGCAAAAGATCAAATAAGCCGCAACGTTCCGACGAGCACTGGAACAAATCAAGGACTCTCGCAACCCGCTAAGGGTATGGTGTTCAGGAACATGAGGCACGGTCACTTAATTCAGTTGGTGTTATTTCGAAGTAAGAACTGAGTAAGATCAGCTGCTATTCAAGTGCACCTCGTCATTTCCCCAAGGCTTTGCGATGACATCGGTGACTGATGATATCTACGTGTACTGCTAGTGTGTTGAGTCAAGCTCAGCCACTCAGTTTAGGCAATTTAGAATTGATCACCTTCCTACCTGCATTCCCCGTCAGCTCACCCCACGCAATGCGATTTGCGAGGTCCGGCCTGTCTATAGGTATGCTAGCATAAGATGTAGGATTGGTGTATCCAATCGGACTGATTATAGATCATGAGAAAAACCGAACACGTTTCGAGCCATGGAGGTCATCGGCCGCCTAGTGTGACAAATACGCCAACGACTATCTTAAGCATCATGGTTCATCAACATGAGCTCCTGCTTGTGCCTTGAAAGTCCATAATTTTATCAAGAACGTGAGGCAAATGTGGAAGGCAGCCTGAAGCATTCACATGGCCTCAGATGTCTCAAAGAATCTCCCCTGTGGCTTCAACGCTTGTGCGATGATGTCCTCGAACCAACCAGACCAGCCCCGTGGGGGTTCTTTGGCATTGACTCCGCGTGAGTGGAGAAGACGGTAAGAAATCCCGAGGCCCCAGACAAGTCATCCAATGATCGACGCTCGTCGGAGGATTTTCGTATTCAATACGACGAACTGGTTAAAGGCTTGTTTTCTGTCAACCACAATAAAGCTAGGTTGTTCTGCTCATCTCTACAATATGCTTTTTCGCGACGGAATTAGATCCCGTCGTCGGAACGCACGACCGAGCTTACAACCTCTCGAAGACGCAGCACGCCCACAGGATGCGAATCGCGCCGGCCCATGAGCACGGTCTCCAGCTTCAGCAACGCGACAGAAAGGTGCCCTGAACAGCCTTGGAAACATCTTTGCTATCACCTTTACATTGTTTCTTGGAGGAGTGAAGTGCTGAAAGAAACAAAAGTTGAAACATCCACCGGTGACTATGGCAGGCGAAGACATCGACATTTGCTCAGGTTCCTCCTCGACAACCACACGGACTGGAGGTTGTTGCTGCGGGTCGTGTCGCAAAAACAAGAGAAGATCGCACAAAAAGTCTAGAAATGGTTGTCAAAACTGCAAAAGACGCAAAGTCAAGGTCTGGCCAAATTACATTCATCAGACCAACATCGCCAGAAAAGGAAAACGCCCCTGGCTATTATCGAGCTGCCCAGCTGACATGCTTGTTGAACAGTGCGATGAGATACACCCCGAGTGCACCAACTGCGTGAGGTTTTCAATGAAATGCGACTATCTATCTGCATCTACAAAGGGGCAGACTTCCACGTCCCCAGGGGACGACGAGCGTCATGGAAAACGAATTCGACAGCACGAAGACAGCCAACCCGCCACAGACCTTCCTACCCCGACGGCCTCCGATATGGAATCAGAATACGACCAGACTCCTACGCCCTCGTGTTACATCGATCCCCTTTTGCACAATGCCTGTATTCTCGATATCCAGAGCCTCGAACTCCTACACTACTACATGTGTCATACGTCGATAACCCTAGGAGACCCCCAAATCTTTAGGGATGTGGTTCCACCCCTCGGTTTCAAGTACGACTGCGTCATGCGAATGGTCCTATCAATCACCGCCCGACACCTCTACCGACTACGACCCGATCAAGCGGGGTACTACCACCGCCTAGCAGAAGACCATGCAGAAGCGGCATTCCCAGAAGTGGCGGCCATGCTCGCGCAGGTCAATGACGAGAATTCGGAGGCACTATACTACGCTACAGTCTTAATCAGTCTGTCTTCTTTCGCTAGAGATCCATCACCGGGGAACATCTTACTTATCGCCGCCGAGGAAGACGAAGTATCATGGTGGGCGTTGATGCGAGGAGTGAAGATCGTAATCAGCACGACAGGATTAGAAAATATCAGGAAAGGTGCTTCAACTGCTCTACTCTGTGGTAGTTCGACATGGAGCGAACCAAAACTTTCAGCTCTTAGCGTAAGATCGCTCGAACTGCATTGGAAGAAGCCTCTGGCCGAGATTGAAGAGCTCGTGGACAAGGTATATGCTGCGGAAGACAGTATTCATCGGCCTGCTTTAACCCACCTGAAACAATGTTACCGGAAGCTATTTACTGCATCCGATGAGCCAAAAGTCGACAACGAACAGATCCCTTCCATTATCTACGGCTGGCTGTATGAGCTTGAGGATGACTTTGTATCGTCTATAGAGAGAAGAGACCCCGTATCCCTGGTTCTACTCGGGTACTATGCTGTCCTGCTGCAGCAACTAGAACATCACTGGTTCATGGAGGGCTGGTCGCTTCAGGTCATCAATGGCGTTTACGCGATACTTGAGGATAGTCACCGGGATTTTCTCACTTGGCCACTGGAACAGGTTGGGTCCATCTGGTCAGGATTATGAACGATCAACAAGGTACATGCAATAGTAAGGAGGACCATCCGAGCATTCGGCATGTTTCTATTTGCCACAATAGAACCCTTCTATAGAATTTCCTTTCCAAGGTCAAGCGCAAGCTATGGTCTGGAGATTCCATTCGTGCCACCTTCGTTCTCAAAGTAACGGCATCCCTCGCTAGCAGTCAGATAGCCTTGGTAAGGACTGGCCATCCCTTCTTTATACGGCCCAAACCGGTGTTGTTGCGGTTCCTGCTCTTGGCTCCGATCACGGCACGATTCTGCCCGACTGACCGATACACCCTCGAGTGCGTATCGCACTTCAATAACAGTTCCTTCAGGGATTTACATTGCCGAAAGAAATGAATTGCGTTCGTCCCCGAGGATTCCCGAAGAACATGATTGGCCCGAAGTGTCTTAAGCATTGCCTGCAAAGGTTCACCCACCAGTCCCCGCGGTGGATAGACGAAGGGAATCTCAGTCAAAGCCAGCTTCTCCAAGTGGCTGAGACGTTTGAGGATTGGAATGAGGCTCTATATTGACTCGTTAGCATCACTTTTCAGATGCCCGCAGACGATCATTGGCCTTAACGTAGGGAATAGCCATCGCTGAAAAACGCAGCAGGTACGAGAGGCAAAGGAGCAGTTGATAGAAGGGGTTAGTTGCGCGACACGCTCCCGAACTTACTGAGACTCTAGTGGACTTCAGCTCGCCATCAATGAGAAGATAGTTGATAGATGGAAAGAGCTTTACGACTTCCTCGAGATCGCTAGATTTCCAATGCGCCTTGTAGAGCTCTAGCGTTGCAAGGGTTTGCAGCTTTGGGGCAATGACCCTGAGGCCAGCCGTGTGCATAGGAGAGCCGTCGAGTACGAGACTTAGGCAACGAAGGTTTGGAAATGTCTGAGGGATGAAGCTGGTGGTGACCGACGAAGGGTATACCAAGACTCGGACGGATTGCAGGCATGCCTTCTGCTTCTCAAGCTCTGCCCGGAAGAAGGCGACTATGGACTTGTTTCCACATTTGAAGGTAAGACGAACTTCCTCTGGGGTGGTCTTCCGCAAAATCTCAACTAGAAGTGCCGCTGTGGCTCTTGAGCATGGGATAACGGATGGGTCGTAGTCATTGCGCCACTTCGTCGGAGGCCACTCGGGGCCTCGGGTGCAAAGAGATAGGTGGCTTAAGAGATGTCAGCATTGAGGGCCACATCGGGAGAAATGAGTCTGAAGCCATTGCAGAGGACGATTGGGCGTGGACTTACCGTATGGAACCCAGTATCAACGCGTTTCCCTCGATGGCTTTGAGTTGGGCTTCGATCTCGTCCTCATCGACCGTTCGACAGACAGTCTTGAAGAGGTCAGAGATGGTGAAAACGCGGAAGAGTTTGCAGACCCGTGACAATACTCTCAGCCTCTTTCGATCTTCAACGTAGACCCCTCTTCGATTTTTAGAAAGCTTGGCGAATTTGATGATCTCGATGAGCAGCTCCAGAGGCAAGGTCATGAGGCTAGCGCTCGAGGAAGGAGCGGAGACAGCCACTTCGGTTGCGGCACGGCCGCTTTCTCTGGAATTTTCCATCGCGGGAGTGGTTTCTCAAATGGCTTCTTGTGAGTGGATAGGTTGAAGAAGTTGGAATTCGAAGGTGGTGAGCGACCGGAGGTTGTTTAACTCAGGAAAGTGCCCAGGAGAAGAAATTGAGCAACAAGGGAGGAAATACCAAGGGCGGGCAATATCACTACTTACCGTAGAAAGCCCATGGGAGAAAGTGTGTAAGGCCAATTTATTGAAGGAAGCCACGAGAAGGTGCGACTGTTTTTCGAGCTGAGGGGAAGTTGAGGCAGATGCAAGAAGTGAGTCAACTGACCGCCTTGAGAAGGTATTTTAGGCAAGTGAAAGATGTCCACTTAGTATAGGAGGCATGAAAAAGTAATTACTTACCATAGCCTTCTAGGAAGGAAGGATCTAAGACCGCCTAGGATTGTTTTAATTTGCATTGTCTTGGTCTGCTCTGCCTGGTCGGCTGCCTCGGTTATTCTACCTTCCGGTTCTTTGAAGAGAAGCAATAGAGAGATGTACTTCACAAACACGCGCTGTTTTCTTTTGGAAGGCCATAGAAGAGATGAGGAGGGGAGTAAACCCAACATGTACAAAGGTTAATCACGAGCTCAGAGATGCCACTTTCTCTAAAGAAGAATATCACAATAGACAAGACATAGGGCTGATTCCCAAGAACATTTTGCGAATCATGATACTCATTTGCCAAATAGAAAACCATTTCATTTAAACGCCGTTACAACTTGTGCAATTGTGCACTGCACTACCTTAGACCTTATGCCCTAGAATCACACAGCAATGTCGCCTCTAGTAGGCCAACTATGAGGTGCTTGGGCAGGGAAACAGATAAAGCAAGGTGAATCGCAAATAACCTCAAAGTACTGGCCCAAGAAACTTCCGGGCATAGGTATGCTGCCTTGGCCAAAAAAGACATGAAGATAGGGTTCTCAGACAGTAGGCCAGGCCAATTTCTCCACGTTATCCGTGAATTTGACGTCGATGATATGTCCTTGTTTGTCTTTGATGGGAACAAAGCAATGTCCCTCAAAAGACCGGTCCATGATGTAGAGGACATCCAAGTTAGGAAGGTTCTGCCAGACTTTCCACGCCTGGTCGTACCTCCGGGATCTAGCATCATGGAAACCGATGGCGGGTAGTAGCTTTTTGGAAATCGTCGAGGCCTGGTAGTGAACCGGCAGGATCGCATCCAGAGGTGAGGAAGCCAGGCAGCGCTCATCACTGAGTGCAAGGACCTTGAGGTTGGCCATAGGCGTCAGGTGTCTAGTTGCTAACTGATGTGCGAAGTTGATCAGCAGGGTGTTCATGTTGCCTGTAGTGAGGCAGATAAAGGATGCAATATTAACTTACCTGCAGATCCCATCTTGGCCGTACCGGGGAACCTCCAAAGGCCATGGTTCCGCCCATACTCACGTGAGATGTATGGGGAAAGATTGCTTGGACTTCTTGGAAGTCACTGGCGTCCCATCGCATTTTGCAGATCTGGATATATGCAAGCTGAGGTCCGAGTATGTTTGCGAGGTCGCTCAGACCATCGATAGAGTCCAGTCGTCTGTTCAAAGGCGCCTCAAAGCTAAAAGCTCTGAGATTCGGAAAGGCGGTTACGATGAAGCCTACGCCTGTCGTGACGGGGAAAGACAAAGCAGTGACCATTGAGAGATCCCACTGAGGTGAATCGATAATCCGAGACAACGGCCTGATGAGGGACACTGTTGCCTTGAATCGAAAGTCTAACCGGAGTTCCTGAAGATTATGCAATTCGCCCATGAGGAACATGAGGTCCGTCGGAGTTGACGGTCTGCAGGAAGCCACGGGGCCTTGGATCTGAACAAAGCGGCCGGGGGTTCGTGAGGTTGGCGGACCTTCTGTGTAGATGCTGAGTACTCTGAGAGGAAGTAATTGTCAGTCAACAGGCCTGTGCCATGTGGGTAGAATACCAGACATACTGTACGGAACGAACGATGCTTTTGTTCCGAAACACCCTCATCACATGGTCGGCGAGGGTGTCTTCAGCGCAGCTTATCTGGGCAACTCGGAAGATGGTAGGAATGCTCAGGTATCTCATGAGTTGGCAGGTGTTGGAGATCGGGACGAGAGAGATGTTGTTGTTTTCCATCTGGCGCAGAATTTCCAAGATGAGCTCTTGGGGCATCCGTCGGAGCGGGAATTCGCCACGGCCGTCATTGGTAGGGGGCTGGCCGGGGAGTTGGATAGGAACGATGGCACTCATCTTGTCGCTGGGAGTGAATGAGAAGCAAAGACAATTTCGTTGGAGAAAAGTATTTGCGAGACTCGATGTGCGTGGGGTGAGGGTGAGAGTGAGATGAAAAAGTGAGGCAATCGCGTGTGAGCGCGGCAAATATTTCCAAGACTTGATGAATTTTGAGAAGGAGAAAGGCTGTAGTGAGGAAAAGTGAAAGGAAAGGAGACAGGCGATCTCGCACGAGGGGATGTGTCTGCGAGACTCGATGGGTATTGAGAGGAAGAAATTCCAAGATGAGTGAGGGTGAAAAGGAAAAGTGGCAGGCCGAAGACGCGACTGTTGTGGGAGTTTACAGAGAAGAGTAGGAAGGCGCCCTCACCTCTGACCCGGTCGTACCTTCTATAGTCGGCGGTGTGATTTAATTCACATGAAGGTGTGTATTCAGTCATTCACGTATTCAGTTTGATGATGCAGCATACACTCGAGTTCTCGACTCCGGATTCTTCCTCGAACACGGCCATAGTAGCCCCTTTGTTTATTACTACCCCTTGTCTCTCTTATTCCTTCTATCTTGCCTTTGTTCTATGTGCAAAGTTAGCTTTCTTCATCTTGGGGCTTTCTCTCCAAACTTCTTATAACTATTGGCGTATTCATTGGAAAAGCTGCTGTTTTGAAGCAGGCAACCTGCCTCCGAAACATAGGCAACAAACAGTATTCGGGCGTCAATCTCGCCCCTGGTATCTATACACTGCTTTCTTAACGCTTCAAATTACATCAATTCTGCAGATAGCATCTTGTCGCTCAGATCAATTGACTCTGTTGAGGACTCAAGCATTCCGAGCATCGGGACACCGCCTGTTGATAATCTCTCCTAAGGCAGCAGCCGACGTAGCCAGGCTACCAGCATCTTCGGGTCCTGTCACTGCCAACTTGAGCACTCTGGCTGCAGGGCCACTTCTCATTGTCATCGTCTAAACCATCGGAACGAATTACACGCATCCTATCGTGGAAATAAGCAATAAATGACTTTCTGGTGATGAAGGTTACGCAGAGAAACGCGGCAGATGACGTCCTAATCGCGGGATCCACCGCTTGAAGTTGAGTCACGACCGGACACTTAAAGTGCCGGGCGAACTATACCCGCGATGATGACCCGATGCATCCCGACAACCTCAGGCTTAACAGCAGCGATGATTCTCGATTATAAATGGCCTGGAAGACGCTTCAAGTTCAATGAGATCGCCATCATTGTTCTCATTGTTGTGTACTAAATTACTGAAGTAAGAAGTCTTTCACAATGGATCCTCTATACTTGGCAGGTCAGGGAACTGTAGTCCTAGGACTGTATGACCAATTTATTCGAGCGATAAACTGCATGGTTATAGTATTCCAGCCATCTACCGGAGAGATGAAAACTGATTTGCAAATCCCAGGCTCCGTACCCCTTCTTCTATCTCTTGCCCACTAGGAGGATCTCCCGTTACTTATTAAATTCAAACCACAGAGACTCTGCCACATTTACACCTCATAGCGTCCCAGAATCGTCTAAAAGCCGCGAAAGTTCTTCACATCATCTGCTTTCCCTCGGCCTTTGGGCCTGCTACATGGGAACGCAAACGGTTATCTACTCTCAGCTAGAGTCTCATTTGCCAAGGGCCATTGCAATGACGCTCACCACAGTTGCCTGCGCTCCTCTCCGGCTATCCTGGACATACTCAGTCGCATCTGACGAGAATGGGAGGGATGAAGTCTCCGTGACGCCTCTCTTCGCCATGCAACGTACCACATGGCAACGCTTCATCGCTACAACGGTTTTGTGCGACAACTTCAACCTTGTGGCGAGTTTATGCCTCAAGCTTTTATCCGACGCTGTCTACTCGTTCCCCACTGACGAAGAGATACTCAGCGGCGAGGCTACGATAAGTGTCTCGTCATATCTGAGAGCCGCCGTCTTGACTCTTTCGACCACGATGGTGCTATGGATTCCCGAAACAGTAATATCCACATACGCTGCTATTGTTGCACTTTACCAACATTCAAAAGTCCACATGGACCAAGGATGGCTGTGTGGTTTCTCGGAGGATATTCGTAATGGGATCCATTCCATGAGTTTGCGACTCTGTCAAGACCTGGCCCAGGACTACTTGCTCGGATCCGTCTGTGTTCTAGGGATTGCTCTCGCTCCGATGGTCGGTTGGTTGCTGTTCCGGCGACCTGTATGAAAAACATAACTTCATGTAAAAGGATGCGTCTTGCGCCAGCAAAAGATGTAGTCTAAGATGCCACCCACCTCAATCTTATAACCACATATGTGTCAATTTGACTTCAAAGTTATGTTTACACGCTGTCATGTTGTGTATGAACATGTACGGTTGTCTTGATTAAATGGAACTCGACTACATCTTACTCGGCATCCGCATGCCACCATCTAGCCTCAACACCGTCCCGTTGAGCATCACATTCTCAATAGCATGCCGTGCCAGTGCCGCGAATTCCTCGGGCTTACCCGCACGTACGGGAAACTCCATAGAACGTTCGAGACTGGCGCGGACCTTGTCGGACATCATGGACGTCATTCGTGACTCGAACAGACTCGGGGCAATGGTGACAACGCGGATACCGAAGCGGGCAAGGTCACGGGTCATAGGAAGCGTCATGGCCGCGACAGCACCTTTACTCGCAGCATAGGCGACCTGGCCCTTTTGGCCGTCAAAGGCCGCAGAAGATGCGACCATGATGACGATGCCGCGCTCGCCGTCGGGCTTGGAGGGCTCGTTTTTGGCCATGAGAGCCAGTGCCTGGCGGGTAAGGTCGATGGTGCCGCGTAGATTAATGTTGAGGACAAAGTCCCAAGCGTCTAGGCCGAAGGGCTCGCCATGGCGGTCGAGAATCTGGCTCAAGTGTTAGATACGGACATGATGGCAGTAGTCGGACTCAGGGATGGAAGCATACAGATGACGGGTTTCCAACGCCGGCTGCTGGGATGACGCCTCCGACAGGCTTTCCGGACTCCTTTACCCAGGCGGCGGTTCCCTGGACGGCGGCCTCGATGCTCTTGGTGTCCAGGACATCACAGACAAAGAACTTTGCGGATGAGCCCAGCTTGGACACCAGCTCATTGCCGCTATCCTCATTCATGTCCAGAATAGCGACGTTTCCTCCATTGTTGCATATCTCCTCCACGCAAGCCTGTCCCAGGCCAGACGCGCTGTCATGGGATGAAAGTTAGCGTGGTGGTCATTGGCATGTGATCAGGGATGGTGAGCTAGGTAGTTGGGCTATGGAGAGAAGGTTGTTGAGAGATTGAGATGCATTGCTTACCCGCCAGAGATAATAAATGTGTGACCTGAGATCTTCATGATGATGTTTGTCTGTGGAAAGAAAGTATAAAACAAATCACATGCGTTGCAGTTGAGGGAAGTCAAAGGAGGTCAAATGGGACGGTGTTGAGGTGAGAGCTTACAGCAGGTGCCCCACTAAAGCTCGGTAGTCCGGTGAGGAATGAAGTCAAGCCTCGGCAGCCGGTGTAGTCTCGGTGAGGAAGGGTGGGCCTTCTAAGGTGGACCCGGCATGGGCCATGTCAAGCCACGATTGGCGGGGTCACCAGAGGCAGTACGTACTGTCAGGGCTGGGATGGAACCAATGAAAATCTGTCTCCGGCCGTCTGATAAGGCTTTGAGGTACGTACTGAAAGCAGCCACACTTATGGCACGTGCACGGTACGCGGGTGGGCTTGACGTTGGCGCTCGAGCCTCCCATCCCATGTCGCAGACTCAGCGGAGCCCAGCGGAGGCCCGGTCCAGTTGTCTGGCAGTGGTGGTGGTGGTGGTGGTAGTGGTGGTGTGCCGTCATTGCAGCACATTTGGTGCTTTGCCAGCACACTTCGCTGTACGCTGTACGCGTACCAACTACCTACCTGAACGCAATCAGCGCAAGGCAAAGAGCGCACCTAAGGTAAGCGACGTCAATCTTCCTTTTCCCTTGCCCAACTCGAAACAACAAACCCGATCTGACGCCTTTTTGCTGCTCGTTGCGACCTCAACGTCGCCGCCAGTCCCAGAGGCCGCCGATTCTTCTTTTTCCTTTTCTTTATGCCTAGCATCCTGTGCTTTTTGCGAATCGAAAGTTGCGCTTGAGCGCGTTATCGGCCCAAATTAGAACTGTCACCGTCTTTTGCTTACAAACTGCACGACTTTCCCTCCGCCGCCATTCAGCTTCCCTACCGGCCTTATCGCTGCTGCGCCGCCGTCGCCCGACTTTTCCGACCGATACACCACATCGCGCTGCAGTACCTTACCTTATACACATTTCGCGCCGCCACGATGACAAGACCACGTCGTTCCAGCGCCGCGAGCGAGGAGAGCAACGGCACCGCCGGCGAACAGGTGAGGAACCACCTAAACGAACTCCGATCCGATAACGACCGGGAACATGGGATGGGCTAGCATACTGACGGAGTGCGCAGGAGCTGGGTAGCATGTACGACTACTTAGCAAAGATTATCTTGCTGGGACCAAGCGGGACGGGCAAGTGAGTGGCATCAACACCCGAATGGGAGCACGCGACCAACTCCAGCACTGGCACTGGCACTGGCACATAGCTGACATGACGCTTCTTCGCGATCCCAGGTCCTGTCTGCTTCATCGCTTCGTCAAGAACGAGTGGAGAGTCCTGTCGTCACAGACTATCGGCGTCGAGTTTGCAAGCAAGATCATCAAAGTCGGCACCGGATCACGGCGGAAACGGATAAAGCTTCAGGTATCCCCCCAACGCTCTGGACTGTGCGACCGAGAAGGAGGGCGATGCTGATTACAGGAAACACCAGCTTTGGGATACGGCCGGCACCGAACGATTCCGCTCCGTCTCGCGATCATATTACCGAGGCGCCGCCGGAGCCATTCTCGTCTACGATGTCACAAATCACAGCAGTTTCCGTGGCCTACAGCCCTTTCTCAATGACGCACGCGCACTAGCATCCCCGAATCTCTCCTGCCTCTTGGTGGGCAACAAGCTCGATCTTGCGTCCG